TGCTTTATTTATTCGATAGTTTATTAAATAAACTGTCGAATCAGTAAAGTAAAAAGACGGTTTACATATGAATAGGACCGACATTCTGGTCTAAACTTTTCCGAATTAGCCCGATCGGAAAATCCAGAAGGGTGATTTTCCTAGCAAAGATCCCATATGGAGTAATAGCTTTGGTGTGGTTTGGTTTTGATAGTTACTCTGGCAGAGTATACACCGCACCACTCTGGATCACTCTACAAATAATTTCTTTTTTTTCAACTTTAAGAATACCAATTACTCGCGTGTTTTTTTGTTCCTTCATTATATAAAGGTTATGTAATGAATTTTTTAGGTTTTGAGCCTTAAAATTTTTTATCGATTTTAAATAGGTAGTTGTTGAGATATTATTGCTCAAATTTATAAATTATTTATAAGGATGACGTAATTTGAAAAGATACGAGGACATTATAATAACATATTATCAACAATTAAGCAGGTGTTTTTCCTTACAAGCGATAGGGAGCTTATATTGCAATTGATACAGTATTTACAGTATAAGTTTATGACGAGAAATATCTTGCATTTCCCCGAAAAGCAACGAAGAAATCACTGTGATAAGGGCTGGGAAGGGCTTTTAACACGTTATTAGAAAACTCCATTATTTTCCTGTAACGTTAGCATTAGATCACTATATTTAACAAAACCATGACCCATCACGTGACTGATCTGAGAAAATGATCCACATTTCACATATATATATATATAAGTTGATGAATTTCTTTTTCTTCAGCAAATTTTCGCAATTTAATTCCGAATTTAAGTATGTCACATTCTGAAGATAACCTGTCTGAAGATGAAGAACGTTTTGACGACGCAGACGGAGGCTGGCCCGAGGACGAAGGTGGTGATGATCATTTAGATCACAAAGGCGATGATGAGTATGAGGGAGAACCTATAGGTGAAGAGGAGGAGGAGGAAGAGGAGGAAGAAGAAGAAGAGGAGGAGGAAGAAGAAGAGTCAGGATCGAGCAAGCGAGTACGTATGTTTGTGTATGTTTCTCACTGTGTACATGTATTTGGCCTCGATATATTATAATTTTAAAAAGTATATATACTTGTGTTCAAATGACAATTTGTTGATATTGAAAAAAATTTTTTGTTTTGAATATGTAGAAAAAAAAGAGACGAGGGAAATATGATCCAAAAGATTTCTTCTTGCTAGAAGCTGACGTTGACGATGACGAAGAGGAAGAGGAAGACGAAGAAGAGGCAATGCTATCTAAAGGTAATTTTGATTTTATCTAAAGCATATTAAGCCTAAATAAATTTATCGTTCTAACAAAATTATATAATTATTATATGGTTATTCTATAGAGTTTATTGATAATCGTGATGAGCTTGAGGGGATGCAACGTTCTTCCCGTGAATCTCGGCGCATGGCTATGGAACTTGACCGTAAGGCACTTGAGGAAGAGAATTTAGATGCTGAAGAACTGGCTCAGCAAATGAATGCGCGTTATGGTCGTCGCCGAGGTCATCACATTCAATCTGATTCTAGTATACCTGTACAATATATTCCTGATGTACATCAACCAAATATGTTTGTTATCAGATGTAAAGTATGTATTTATTTATTTATTTATTTTTTTTAATTGATATATTGATGTTCATTAATTACTAACAGTTTCTGTTTATTAAATATTACAGCCAGGAAAAGAAAAAGATGTTGTTATTCAATTTATGAAACAATTCAAAGAGAGCGAATACTCTCAACATCCACTTGAAATTTTGTCTGTTACGTGCAGAGATGCACTAAAAGGATATGTATATATTGAGGCTTGGAAACTGGCGCATGTACAAAAGGTAAGTCATATTAATTTTTTAACTACTGTATAAATTCCATATTGTTATTACGTTTTCTCATTCAATTTTGATATTGACTTATATAGGCCATGGTAAATATAAATAACCTATTTTTGTCGCAAATAAAACTTGTACCATTGGGCGAAAGAACACATGTATTGACAATTAAAAGGAAAGATATCAAGCTCAAAGAAGGTTCATGGGCCAAAGTGAAAAAAGGAAAATACGCGGGTGATTTAGTTCAGGTATTGTTTTTTTTTTTCGTTTTCCTTTTTCTTATCTTTTATTATTATCTAATATTTGATTTTTTTTTTAGATTGCAGTTGTGTATGAAGAGGGTAGTACTGAAGTAAAGATAAAATGTGTCCCGCGTATTGATGAAAAGGATGCAAAAACAATGTCTGTTAATCCGGCAAAACGAAAGAAATCAATATCTACATCGACAGTTAAAGTTTATGATAGAGGCTATGTGGGAAAAGACATAAAAATCACAAATTTAGTAAGAAAAAGTTACCTAATGCACTATGTACCTTATTGTATAATAAAAGATGAATTAAATTATTATTTTATAGAATATAGATATAAGTCCAACAATGGATGAGATTACGCAGTTTCTTTCAGCAGCTGATACAGATGGTTTGTACTCAGTTGGCATGTTTTTAAAGTGATAGTAAATTCGTTGGCTTATAATTAATTATGTTATGATTATAGACAATAATAGGTCAGAATCATCGCTTGGTCTGCCCACAAAAGTTAGATTCTCACCTGGTGATGAAGTTGAAGTTATAATGGGAACAGAGCGTGGAATTTATGGTATTGTGGATATAGTGGATAAGGACCGTGTTACTTTCACTCGTCATAAGTCCACACAACAAGTGACCTTCCTGGCGGATTCTCTGGCAAAGAGATTTAATATAGGAGATCATGTCCAAGTACTTAATGGATCTCATCAAGGAGAAGCCGGCATGGTTGTCAATATTGACAAAAGTAAAAGCACAATTACTCTTTTGTCAGATACATCTATGTCAGAAGTAAGTTAAATATTTATACATAATGTAAGTTTATACGAAGTTTATACGATAAATTTTTTTACACGTAATTCTATTTATTTGTAGATTAAGGTGTTCTCTAAAGATCTAAAAAAAATATCAGAATCCACAAACGGTAGGCCGTCCGGTGCCGAATTCGAGTTACATGATTTAGTTCAGCTTATTTCGTAAGTATTTTGTCATTTTATCATGCATAATTGAATAAAACCAACGTATTTTATATGAATTCTATAGAAATACTGTGGGTGTGATTGTTAATGTTGACGTGAATTCTTATCGTGTGGTTGAATTAAAGGATGGTGTCGGTGTTCTCTCTACCTATAAACAAGAAGAAATAATTGGAAAAGAAGATCCAAGACCATCAACAACATCACTTGGAAAAAACCAAGTTGTATTGAAAGTAGGAGACACCGTTCAAGATAGCAGAAATGAGGTAAGGAAATTTTTGTTTCTGTTTTAATGTATTACCTTTATAGAATGTAATTAAATTTCCAATATCATATTAAGAACCGTGAAGGCAAAATACTTTATATTTATCGAAAATACGCTTTTGTGTTAAGTCGTGGTGGTTTTGGCGAAGATGGTGGTATATTCGTAGTCGAATGCAACACACTTACAAACAATAACTCAAGAACAGTATGTAACTCATTGTATTTGCAAATAACGTTAATAGATTTTCATGCTCTAATTTGTTGTCTAATGTTATTAGGCTGGAATTGCACTTGATAAATTAAATCCAGAAGTATTTTCTGCAGTGCCAGCTCAATACCAAAATCCACCTCAATATCGATCGAACTATAATTATGGCGGTCGTGGACGAGGTGGAAGAGGTGGTCGTGGTGGTGGGTACAACCGACATCGTAAACCTGATCCACTAATAGGACAAACAGTTACTATTATAAAGGGGCCATACAAAGGTTTTATTGGTATTGTAAAGGAAACGACTGTGTTAATGGCGCGGGTAGAATTACATACCAATTGCCAGATTGTAAATGTAGAGAAGACTAAGCTGCATACCATCGAGTAAGGATCACTATATTTAAAACATAATATTTTTAAAAAATTTTTTACTAATAATTACTAACATATTGTGAATGTTTAGTTCAAATGGCAATAGTCGACCAGTTGTTTCTGCACCAGATGTTTCATCCGGTAGAAATAGTCGAGAGTACAGTCCAGCACCATCGAACTATTCAGGTTCGAGCTGGCAATCAAGCAGCGCAAGAACACCTTCTTCGTGGAACGGTTCGCGAACTCCTACCTGGCATAATGCAATGACTCCGAATACAAATACTACAGAAGGATCACGCACACCATCCTCATTTGCTGAGGGATCACGTACACCGGCAGTTCATTTCAGTGAAGGATCTCGCACACCTGCTTGGGATCTTGATAGTAAAACCCCGGCTTATAATGGTCTTGACGGTTCAAGAACACCTGCTTGGGATATTGGAAGTAAAACACCTGCATACGCTATAGATAGCGGTACTCGCACCCCAACTTGGGATAACGGATTTCCAGCAACCCCTGCAGCTGAAACTCCGAGCTTTACAGCACCAACACCTGCAGCAGAAACTCCAGGTTTCACTGCTCAAACACCTGCAGCCGACACACCGGCAGCATTTTCAGCACCAACGCCAGCAAATACAGGAAGTCTAATGGTCCCCTCTACTCCTGGCCCTGGGCCGACGACTCCAGCAAGTTTCTTACCACAAACACCATTTGTTCCAGCTAGTACAATCCCTACTGGTGGAGACTTTAGACAGATTAAACATGATGGTAAGAATTCTATATTTAAATTGATGAAGGATATTTATTTGATAATATTTTTAATTAACTTTTTTTTTTCTGTTTTGACAGCTGTTTCATCATCTAAAGAATGGCTCACCACTGATATTCAAGTTCGCATTGTTCCAGATTCCAGGACAAGTTCATCTCATGCTAGTGGGCAATACGACAATCGTGTAGGCGTCATTATCCGTTTAGAGTCACCTACAACTTGTATTGTTGAATTAGATGACACGAAAGAGCATTGTTTTGTTGAACAACGATATTTGAAACCCGTCCTTCCTCAAAAGAAGGAAAGAATTAAGATGATTGGAGGAGAACATAAAGGACAATTGGGGATGTTGGTTGGTGTAGATGGTGCTGATGGTGTAGTAAAAGTCAAAGGTGGAAAAGATTTCAAAATTGTGAATATGACTATGATGGCTAAATACATGGGTGAAGAGGTTGCGGAGGAATAATTGTAAACGCTAATTATTATTACTTGTAGATTTAATTTTTGATGCGCTTATTCAATTTCAATTTGTGATTTGTTTTAGTGACAAATTCTTTTTTTTTTTTTTTTTTTTTTTTTTTTTTTTCTCAAAAAAAAATAAATGCTGTTGCAGAATGTAAAAATTTCACCCACTTTTGTTATAATTTTTTTACTGCAATTTTCTATCTCGTATTGGAGCCACTTTTTTGTAGTATTTGTAGTATTGAGGATATTCGGCAGATCGGCCAAATTTTAGTGTCGGAGTGCATTGGAACTAGCCGACATTAAACAGTAATACATTATAGCAAAATTAGCGTCTTGGTAATTTATCAATTCGATCCATTATGACTAGTGTTGGCATTGGTCAATGATCAATAAAATTGAACATATGACTAATTGGAATTGGGCATATGTCCAATAAAAATTTTATTATGTTCAATTGGTCCAATTGCCAACGATCATGAATCTATTTCCGATCCCTAGCCTGTCTGGACTGAAGATCACAGGATCTTGTTTAAGTAGAGTTTTCGGCTTGAAATTTTGGTTTTAGGATGCATTTTAAAATACTAAATATACAGGAAAAATATTGATGTACTACGATTAGTGATGCAGTAGAATCGTCCCAATGATTGCCGTAACTAGTTACGACATAAGCTGTTTACATTGGGACGATTCTACTGCATCACTAACGACCAAAAATTTCGAGGCTGGAGGCTTGACATAAAGCACAACTCATAGAGGTAGATCCCCAAAATTCTGATCAATTTTGCTCAAGATTACTAAGAATTTTACTAATGAAACCATAACAGATAATCGTTTATTAAGTAAAAAATGGTCAACTGATAATTTTACTATAACCAGAATGTTAATCCTGACCCTAACCCCGACCCTAACCACGACGCATTCCTGGCCATTCCGACCCGGAAATCCTTGTAAAAAATCATAAAGCACAGTTATATACTGATCTTTTGAATTGATTGGTCAGGATCACGTGTATGCGAAATTTTTTGCGGATTAAAGTTTGTAAAAGATCGCCTAAAGATTTTAAGATCAATAAACAATGGTAGGTTGAGAAACTAGATCCCAAGTTCCAAAAATATCATAATATATAAACTTATTAGTTCTTCCATAATACAGAGACCTATTCTTTTGCAAGGACATACACGTTCTCTAACTCAAATAAAGTATAATTTGGAGGGAGATCTTCTTTTCTCTGTGTCTAAAGATCACGTTGTAAACGTATGGTATTCACATAATGGTGAACGCTTGGGAACTTACAATGGCCATGTTGGGGCTATTTGGACTGTGGATTCCAATTGTATTACATTTTTTAAAATTCTTAAAGAAAAAATTGTTAATACAAAGTTCTTTAACCTAATTTAATTTTTATGTTCAACTTAGCAACAAGTACTCTTTTATTAACCGGCTCGGCAGATAACACTGCTAAACTCTGGGAGGTTCAAACTGGTAAATGCTTACATACTTGGGAATTCAAAACTGCGGTAAAACGCGTTGCATTTTCTGAAGATGATAACATGGCACTTGCTGTAACCGAACAGCGTATGGGTTACCCAGGATCTGTAGTAATTTTGTCAATTAAGAACGATCTTGAAGCGGAACGTATGTTGCGTTTATTCTTTGCAATATTGATCTAGCGATTTCTTAGAAGATTAATAATGTTATAATATATCTTTAATAGAATCAGACGAACCTATCAATATCATATACCCAAAAGGTTCTAAAGCGATGTCTGCAGTTTGGGGATATCTTAACAAATATATAATATCAGGACATGAAGATGGAAGTATTTCACAATATGATTGGAAGGTTAGTCTGGTTTAAAAATCTGTCTGTTTAATCATTAATATCATCAAAGTAATAATTTAACCACAGACAGGCGATCAAATTAAATCGATTCACCCACATACGGCTGAAATCACTGATCTTCAAATGTCAGAAGACCGCACATATTTTATTACTTCGTCGAAAGATAAATCTGCTCAGATTTTTGAATCTAATACGTTGAACCATTTAAAAAAATATATGACTGATGCACCACTTAATTCTGCTGCAGTAACACCATTTCAAGATTTCGTTATTGTGGGTGGTGGTCAAGATGCTATGCATGTTACCACAACTACCATGAGACAGGGTAAATTTGAATGCAGATTTTATCATAAAATTTTGGAAGAAGAAGTAGGTAGAGTCAAAGGACATTTCGGTCCTATAAATACTATTGCAGTACATCCTGATGGAAAAAGTTTTTCATCCGGTGGAGAGGACGGTTACGTTCGAGTACATCATTTTGACGAGGATTATTTCAAATTTAAATACCCAGAGTTACATTAGCTTCAAAAAAGAAAATTCTATTCTTTTAAATAGTAATACCTTGCAAAAGTTAAATTATCTATGTAGCATCATATTAATATGATTCTTTTGACAAATTTATTTAATAAAAAGTAATGTATTACTGAAGCAAGAAACGCGTCCTTTTATCCCACATTTTCTAAAGCTTCCATAATCACGACAGAATTTCCGCGTATAACCTACAGTGTTAAATTATTGATTTTTAGATTAACATTTATAAACCTACGTTGTTCGATAATCTGCTACTTACCACCATGCCAATGTTATGTTTTTCGGTTGCCGAAATTTCTTCAACAGTCTCATCCAGAACTAAGTTCATGAAAGGATCAAAGCCGCGTAGAATCCCGGTTACCTTTCGACTTCCATTAAGTTGAATAAACACTCTTTTTTCCATATACCTACGTGTATAGAATAGTAAAGCCATGAAAAGCAGAACAAATGTATACTATAAAACCTTAGGTTATAATTCATCACGTACTTTCTCAGTTCTGGTTGCGAAGTTTTCGACATTATTGCGATTTTATTCTCGCGAACTCTATATTCAACTTTTTAGTATTTAACGACTGTGCTTTCCAGTTAAAATTTAAGTAACCAATAAAATCAAAGACCGATGATAAATGGCTTTGATTGGCCATCATAATTAGATATTTGTACCTGGTATCTTTAGATGGTGATCAGATATCAAAGAAAAAATGTCAAAAAAAATCAAAACTGACAATTATAAGGGGGATTCACCTTTCCTCACGGGTAATCAAACTCGAATTTTTCGTCCTTTTCGTGCCATTGGGTATGTCACAAATGACATACCATTTGACCTTCAAATAAGAGGGGATACATACTTTGTCACAACATGTATAGGCAATAGCTTTCACATATATGATGTAGGTTCGAATTATATAGTTTATGAAAATTGAGAAGCAAAAAATAAGTAAACTAATTTGTCTTAAGTGTGCCAAACTTAATTTGAAATATGTAGGTATGTTCGATTTTTATAGCATTAAAACTTTTCTAAACATTTTGACTTGACCGTTTTATATCTAATGTTAATAGGAACACAAACAGAAAACCCTATAACAGCAATTGCTTCGTACGGTGATACTATTTTTGTTTCTTGTGGGAAGGATCTTATCGCTTTCAAATTTGGTAAAGAGGTAATTAAATTTCAGATAGATCTAATTTCGTTCAATGAATGTCCAAATAATAATGATAATTGTTTCCTAGGTTTCGCGCTATCATGGAAATCATCAAGGAAATATCTTTTTTTTATCAATTTTTAGCAATTATATTATGGCTCTTAGTGAGGACAATGTCGTTGTACTCTGGGATCATAAGTCTGGAGGTAAAATTAACTTAAATAGATATCATCTAGATTTATTCGTTTATTCATTATTTTTTTATTATTATTGTTTTTTTTGTCTAGGACTACACTCTGAAATTCAATTTGACGAAAGTTTCACGATATCAACTATTATTCATCCAAGCACGTATTTAAACAAAGTATTACTTGGCAGTAGGCAAGGGACGATGCAAATTTGGAATATTCGAACAAAGTACAAACTTTAAATTTTTTTGTGCTGATTATTTTGTTTTGATCGTTTTTTGTTTATGACATTTTTTTAATATTAGAAAGTTGAAATATTCATTTTCTTCGTTCGGATCTTCGATTACGTCACTCGTACAATCACCCGTTGTTGACGTCATCGCGATCGGTTTACTTGATGGTACAATAGTCATTCATAATATCAAGTTAGATGAGCGTATTATGTCTTACAAACAGGAGGGTCGTGTTACATCTATAACTTTTAGAACAGGTATGTATACAAATGATGTTAACTTACGTGGCAGATTATGCTGAAATTGGCTTATATTGAAGTTTTAACCTATCTTCATATGAAATTTTAAATTTGGGGCTTTATTTTTGTTTTAGTTAGATTAGAATTAGTGTTGATATTGTTAATAAAAGGATCTATGTGAATTTTAGTAAATACTAAATATTTAAATGTGGATCCAAATTTCAGCATAAGTTGCTATAATTTATTTATCAAACATTCCTATTTAATGAGTTCAAATCTTAGATGATCGGCCTATAATGGCGACCGCTAATATGTACGGTGATATAACTCTTTGGAATCTTGATGAGAAAAGGTTATCACATATTATAAAAGGTGCTCATGAGGGATTAATTCCTTCAATACAATTTCTCAATGGTCAGCCTATATTGCTTACTTCTGGCGCTGATAATTCCATAAAGGTATTAACTATGCACAAAATCAGTAACCTATGCTTGAATTGAAAATTTTATTTACTGATTACAATTTAGGAATGGATTTTCGACACTTTAGATGGAGTTGAGCCTCGTCTTTTAAAGTCAAGGTGTGGTCATCATGCTCCTCCAACTAAAATTGAATTTTATGGATCTGATGGTCATTTTATTCTGAGCTCAGCTGGGGATAGGTCATTAAGAATATTTTCATTGATACGGGATTCACAAAGCGTGGAATTGTCTCAAGGTGAATTGTACTTTTTTTATGGACTCATATTCAGATTAAATGTTCTCTTATCTGATATACATATCCAACATTAGGGTCAATTCTCAAAAAGTTTAATAAGTCTAAAGATCATATACGAAGTATTGACGTTCTTAAATTACCACAAATAATCCAATTTTCTTCATGTAAGGCCAATTATTATTATGAGCGTAAAACTTTATCAGATATTTATCTGGGCTTTGTTTAAAAAAGAATATAGTAAAGTGTAATTGAACTAAGATTCGCCAATTTTATAAGCGTTCAAAATTATTTATTAAAGCAAAATATTGATTATTAACCCAATTGTCTGCCTCTAGCTGAAGTAAAGCAGAAAGAGTGGGATAATATTATTTCTTGTCATATAAATAATAATGGGGCTCGAACATGGTCATTTCAATCCAAAGCTATTGGCAAACATATTCTACGTACTCTTGATGGATCATATGTTAAGGTATATGCATAAAAATAATCAAATTATTAAATATAACATATGTATAGTTATTATGTATAGTTATATTGGATTTGAATTTTAAATATAAATAATAGGTTTCAAACATAAGTGCATGCGGAAATTTCGGTTTCATCGGATCATCATCTGGCTATATCGAAATGTATAATATGCAATCTGGCATTCATCGGAGAACCTTTGCTGGAGAAGATAGTATGTACATTTGGTTTAAGATATTTAAATAGTTCATAATCCTTCAAACTTTTTAACAATCTTTACTTCAGAACACACGAAAGCCATTTCGGGCATAGCAAGTGATGCGCTTAATCGCATTGTGATTAGCAGCTCTCTTGATGGCACCGTTAAGGTAAATGAAAAATAAATGAATTTAAAATAAATTAAATGTATTAATATATGATTCTTTTTTGGTTTTAATTATAGATATGGGATTTTAATACAGCAAAAATTAAAACCACTATCGAAATAGCGTCCCCTATTTCAGCTTTAAGATTCCATACGGAAAATGATTTATTGGCAATTGTTAGTGATGACTTGTGTATTCGCGTTATAGATGTAGAAACTAATAAAATTATTAGAGAGTTTTGGGGCCATAAAAATCGAATAACAGATTTGGTAAGAATTTAGTTAGAACTTTGTTAAAAATAGTAATTTAGGTTAAATAGTAATATTGACGCCATATTATTCAAAGACGTTTAGTCCTGATGGACGGTGGGTCGTTACTACATCTCTTGATGCTACAATCCGCACTTGGGATCTTCCAACCGGCCATTTAATAGATATATTTCGAGTAGAAAGTGTTCCAACCAGTGTAACATTCTCGCCGAATGGCGATTTTTTGGCAACTTCACACGTAGATCTTGTAGGAATTTTCTTATGGTGCCTAATCATTTATCTTTTATTTATTCATTATTTCTATATATTTATTTATTTATTTATTTAGATTTATTTATTATTTTATACAATGCGTTGTTACAGGGTGAACACTACACTATTCTCTAATGTTACGTTGAGAAGAATAACTGATGAAGAAGATATTTCTTTGATTGAGCTTCCAACCACATTGGGCATAGAAGATAATAATGAAGGTACAAGGATAATTGTTTATGCTTCTTTTTTTTTTTTTTTTTTTTTTACTGGTATCCCGCTAACATTTTCCATTTATTCATCAAATAAGATTTGTTTGCATCTAATTCTAATGAAGTAAATGATGTTTCATTTGAAACACCTGAACAGCTCACGGAGCAAATGATAACTTTGTCATCGCTTCCGAAGTCCAAATGGCAAAATTTATTGAATTTAGAAACTATTAAGGTAGATAACTTTCTATTAAATTTCAACCAACTTCTTACAAGCTTAATAATAATACCTTCCTGAATAACTTAAATAATATGAATAGAAACGAAACAAGCCTAAGGAACCTCCTAAAGCTCCAGAGAGGCCACCATTTTTCCTCCCTACATTGCCTGGAGTTGATCCAAAATTTATTCCTGCACTCACTTTAAATGAATCGGAGGAAGAGAAAAAACAAAAAAGTGATAAAACTATAAATTTGAATGGTATTAAAATAGAAACTGAATTCTTGAAAATATTGAAAAATAATCACTCTACTGGAGAATGTAAGTTTCTTTCTAAATTCTCAATTGGATAATGATTGTATTTCGCATGTTTATTTATTTAATATTTGTTAGATTCCGAGTTCTTTAACTATGCGAAAACGTTGAACCCTTCTGCAATTGACTTTGAATTACGCACGCTAAGTCTTGATAACAATTTTGAAGATTTAAGATTTTTCTTAGATGCGATAAAATCAAGACTAAAGTCTAAAAAAGATTTTGAATTAGTTCAAGCATATCTGAACCACTTTTTAAAAATCTATGGTGATATTATTGCTGGTAATTACGAATTACTCGGGAGTAATCTAGAATCAATATTAAATGAGCATAAGAAAGAATGGAGTAGAATTGATGAACTCCTACATTATAATAACTGTATTTTAGAATTTTTCAGAAAATAAAATATTAGAACTACAATTAAAAATAGTATATAGTTTATCCGAACAAAGCAATGTTTTTACAAACTTTGCTTTTTAAAATTTACGTGTCGAAACGAGTTTTTCTATGCTCACATGTATATGGAGATGCAGCACCAATTTAATTTTTGAAAATTATGGGAACTAACACATTAAATATCTCTTAGTGCATATTACCAGACCTTTATCCATTGAATTTTTGTATTATGACGTACTAAATGAAGTAATATGTCTGCATATATTCAACTAAGCCTGTTTAATTAATTAACAATTTCATCAGCTAAATTAGCGCGACGATAGCTTTATCTTGTCGTGTAATCCAGTTATTATTTCGAAGATCAATTGCATCTTGTTATAATATTTAAGATGTCATCATAAACAAAAATATACATAAATAAAGCATAATACGAAGAAAATAAGCATCTATGTGCGATTTCGCCTTAGCCTTTTTAAAATTTTAAAAAAAACTCTACGGCATTTTAATTTTAGTTAAATTTGTAACAAGAATATTTTGTATTGATTTCAAGTGTTTTTGAGATTTTTTGACATTTCTTTAGATGTTAAATAAAAGCCCACAGTAATTTCTGGAGGAAATTGAGAAAGTATACTTGTAAATGTCTTTAGTTGACCAATAGTAACTTCGTTGTCTTCGTCATTTACATCATGGCAATAAACCAAAATTATGTGATTTTGATGAAGGCCAAGTAAACATAAAAATTCATTTTCAGAGCTATAAAAAAAAAAAATGCTGTAAGTTCATATCCTATTCACCACAGGCTTCAATGCGAAGCATGATCGAGCTTTTCGGAATTAAACAACAGAGAAGGACGTTCATAGATATTCTATGGCCACGATGTGCTTCCAGTTCTCCGTTGTAAACCCTAGTGGCAGTGTAACTTCAGATATTCACTTGGTGATTTCTCACCTTACAAAATAGAGTTCAATCTCAATAGCTTTCATCAGGTCATGAACATGGTTCAAAATATTTTTTCGGTTGCTGATTAACATAAAAATTTATTTCAAAGCTACAAAAAGAAAATACTGTAAGTTTATATCCTATTTACTACAGGCTTCAGCACGAAGCACGATCGAGCTTTTTGGAATTAAACAATGGAGAAGGACGTTCATAGATATTCTATAGCCACGATGTGCTTTCAGTTCTCCGTTGTAAACCCTAGTGGCAGCGTAACTTCAGATATTCACTAAGTGATTTCTCACCTTACAAAATAGAGTTCAATCTCAATGGCTTTCAGTAGGTCACGAACATGTTTCAAAGTATTTTGTCGATTGCTGATTAACATAATGATAAAAATTAATAAAGTTAAAAACAAAAAACATATCAATACTTCAGTATTTATTAGTAAATTTTTTTCCACATTATTAACATTATCAGGAGTAAAAAGGAAATTTTACTTTTTGCAATTTCAAAAAGTAGTTTACAATGTGTCTGTCTATCACACAGATCACAAAGATTGATTTGGTATTATCTACTCATAATAAGCATGTATATTTTTAAACAAAAACGTAGCTTTTGTATCACTATATAATACGCTCCGGCCAAAAAAAATTATATGACTAAGTTGTTACACTAAGATTTTTATTTCTAGATATCGAACATTTAATTTTGGATATGCAACTAAAATCCGGATCAATTTAATTGGGAACCGGGCAGGCTTGAAAGGCTTCCTTTAGCTCTAGCCAATTACACGTATTTCATTATGATCAAATTTTTATCAGTAAAAAAATAATTAATCGAATATAATTTTAATAATTAAAGAGAAATTAATTGAAAACTATTCGTCAGAACAATTTCAAAGTAACTATGTTTGGTTTCAATTTATATAGTAAGATAATCAAGTATTCTAAAGGTGAATGTTCAAAACCATATATTAACTTAATTCTAAAGTATAGCTTGACCATATCAAATATTTATTCATTTAATAGGCAATCTGCTAGTCACCTGGATAAAAAATTTTTTTTTTATATATAAATTTTACTATAAGTGCAAATGCACAGTGCTTCTATCTAAAACTTTTTTTTATACTAAGTAAATCACTCTTCAGCTTCTAACAAAGTTGTAGAGCTCATTAAAATGTATTTAATACTATAAGAATATTAAAATTGGTCTGGTAGTTTTTGAGAAATCTTTAAAAAACTTCTTTTTTACATATAAAATTTTTTTAAAAAAAATCAATTTTTTTTAAAGAAATTTTATATGTGAAGAAGTTTTTTAAAGATTTCTCAAGAACTACTATACCAATTTTAATATTCTTACAGTATTAAATACATTTTGATGAGCTCTACAACTTTTGGTTTGTTTTTTTTTGGTATTAAGGTGACTTCATTGGCCTGAAGACTTTTTATTAGAGTATAGACGATATTTTATTGTATAATTACAATGATGGTACATCAAGCTACACGTATACTTTTGGTGTCTAATTTAAGTGGTCTGCTCAAAACGTTAGTGCTATGCTAAGGGTTTCACACTATCTGCCATACCTGCACCCCAACTATGGGGGTATCTATTTAAACTATCTAGTTCTAACTACCATCATCAGCCCTCTAACCCGTGGGTATTACTCACCATTCATATGTGGATTTTGCATCTATCTGCATTGGATTTTGTACCCTACCTTAGGACTTACTAACTTAAGCTAGTCTATCTTTGAGGTAAACCTAACAGAGCAGTACATGTCTCACACATATATTCACCTGCATGTTCCTATAACTTCTTTCTAATTAGTACATATTGATCTGCCATTCCGTATACATATCTCACACCACCTTTTGGGGTGCTGCTGTTCTATGGATATTTCTCAAATACAAACCTTCCTAATTAGGTATCCATTATGTACTCCTTGTCCTTATTCAGTTCACAACAACCCCGATACCGCATTTGGACTGTCTTCTTATCCGGATTCTTTATCAGTCCCTCCCTTACTTTCAGCCAGCAACCCAAAAAGGTTGGTCTGCCCAGGCTTTAGGTGTCTGAAGGATACTCTCTCCTTGGTTCATACTTTTGAAGCATATGCTCTTTTCTTCTAGTGCGACAACCCGGTAGTTCAGCTGGTGTGTCCTTCACCAGTGGACCTGGTCGCTTGGTTCTTCAATCTCGGGCCCCGGTTTAAATTCAGCCCTTTTGTAGTACCGTCAAAGATCACTGCTATCTCCAAATTTGGAACTTGCTAAATAGATTTTCGGTTATGCCAGTTTTTTGGGTTTATTGTACCAAAGCTTCCATTACTAGATGGTATGACTGAAGTTACATATTAGATCCAACCGATAAGCATAACTGTCAACCGAACACAGGCCCATTTTTCAAATATTGTTGCCAGTGAGATTTGAACTCTAGACCTGCCACTTGAAGAGGGTGACGACTAGACCACTACACTAAGTCACCACACCTTAGCTCTACAACTTTTGTTAAAAGCCAAAGAGTAATTTACTTAATATAAAAAAAAGTTTTAAATAGAAGTGCTGTGTATTTGCACTTATAGTAAAATTTATATATAAAAAAAAAATTTTTTATCCAAGTGACTGGCGGATTGCCTATTAAATTTTATTATTTTATTTTAATTTTGACAAAAAAATTATATTTTTAATAAATCTAATTTTTTAATTTTACTATTAAAATTTTAAAAAGTTTTTTAAAACTTTATATGTTCTTAAAGAAAAAATAGATAGCTACTACTAAGTAAAGTTTAAATTTTGCTTAATAATTTATAAAAAATATAATAATAAAATTTATTTAATTTTAAGGTAATAGGAGTTAGATTTTAAATTTTTATTAAGAAAAAAAATAAAATTAAAATTTTTAAAAAAATTATAAAGTTTTTTTTTTATAAGTAACTTTAAATTTTTTATAAATATTAAAAAGTTAAAAATAACTTTTAAATAGTATATTAATTATAAGAAATTAATTAATGTTCACTACAGGTGATTATCACCTGTGATCTACAATATAAACAAAAACAATTAATTTTTAACAAACAAAAATTAATTTCTTTAAGATTAGAGTAAGAGTAAGGGTTAGAGATTAGGGTTAGTAGTTAGGGTAGAGCTTTTTATATAGTAAAATTTAGTAAGAAATTTTTTTTATTAGAGCTTAAAAGGTGGTTTCATAGACAAAATTTTAATATATAAGTAGTTTTTTAAAAAATTCATTGTTTTTGTTACACAAAATTAATTTACATGTTACACCTAATCCTGAATTTTAATTGGTAAATTGACTACAGGTGATAATTACCTGTGGTGTAAATTAGAAATGTTCTAATTATAATTATTATTTAAAAAAAAATTTTTAATATTTTTATTTTTAATAAAAGTAGATTAAATATAAATTTAAAAAATTTTAACAGGCAAATTTGCCTGCTAAATTAAACAGTTTAAGGGATAGTATGAGAATATTGTAAATAATACATAGCTAAAATCTAGAATTCTTTGTTTTTAAAATTTTTTTATAAGTATCTAAAAATAAAATTTTGATTCAAATATACTGTATATAAATGATTTTTTTATTGTAAAAATAGGAGAATCATCATTATCAACTCTTTCCAACAATTACCTATACCAAAAAATCCAAACACATTTTTTGTAAAAAAACACACTAGCGCTTAGTAAAAATGGAGGGCTAACTAGAAGCTATAAGTCGGCAGTTGTTATTTAGAGGTTGTTCTCATATGCTACTTGCTAACTTCTTCAGAGTTTATCACTCACCGCATGCATGGCACTTGTCGTTTAGAAGTAGTTCTTATATACTACTTCCAGAGTTTATCACTCACCGAAAAGAATAGTATAGATGACCACCCCTTTCTTAAAAGAAGGTTTAGAAGGTGTTGAGTCTTTACATGGATGTAACTACTTTCATTGAGTGCAAGTGGTCTTTCTCTAGGTATTTTTTGTTCAGCTAGTTTTCTTCAAATTTTTGACAAAAAGTAGGCAATTTGGCTTACCCCTTCAAAAGATCAGCATTGTTTACATTCCAAATCCAGAACGCAAGTAGATTACAACCACGTATTCGATAAATACGATACTACTAAATTGAACAGGTCCTGGTTTTTAATAGCGGCAGCAGGTGGCTTGAGATATGGGTCTACAGATAGCGGCAGCACCTGGCTCGAGATACAGATTAGGTCAAAACCAAATTTTTCAGAGTCGGTCATACAGTCAGAAAGAAACAATAATGTTAAGGTAAAGCTTTACAGTAGAAATATACAAATATTGTATTTGTTATATAATTTTTATACTTGCCTAGCATGGTTTATAATAGTGCTTTTTTCTTTTTCTTTTCTTGTTTTGTTTTTGTGCTATTTTTTGATAGAAATAGCTGCTATTTCTCACAGGAGATAGCTTTTTCTTGTTCAGTTTGTCTGGGCTTATCTCTTTGTTTTTTCTTTTTTTACATTTTCTTTTTCTTCTATTTTTATTTCTTATTATCTTCCCTTTCTTGTTTTGGTTTTTTTTTTATACATAAACTCCTTTTCTTCTTGATGTATTTTCTAGTATTGAGAATACGGAACATTATTTTTTTTTGCTCTCGGTGAAGAAAGTAAGAATGAAGAGATAAGCTCTTGGTGGTCTGACAAGGTCTTCTAACTTACATGTAGGTTGGTGTGATAAGTCGCTTTTGAGTACACTAGATGCAGTCAAGAGATGTCAGGCTTGCAATTTTTTTACTGTCATTATTCATTTCATTCAAGTTTGTTTAATAAAGTATTGTATTTGAGCTCTGGCAAGACTGTTAAAGAGCTAAAAAAAAAATAAAAATAAAAAAAAATAAAATAGGAGAATGATAAAAAGCAGAAGAATATAGGTTAATGATTTTACTTTCTTTAATTACTAATTATCATTTAAACCTAAATTTATAAAATATTCTATATAATTACTTATACCCAATTGATTAATTTTTAAGATAATATACAAGTACTGTATATTCCCGAAAATAAGCTACCTTTTTTGGG